CCATGACCAACTATAAGTAAGTCCCTTCCTGGGGGGCAGGGTTTGGGGGCAGCCTGCGCTCCCGAGGGGAGCCTGCGTACGCCTCACGCGCCCCTTTTTCTTCTGGAAGGTATAAAGTCAAGCTCACTCCAGGCACCCAAAAGAAGGGAAAAGGTACTGTATTAAAGCACTCGGATCTTTCTCAGCCTCTGCCTGTTGAAGGCAGCACGGGTTTTTACATACATTTTACATCTTTCTGGTGTTTTCACAGCTGCGAAGATTGCCTTGCATAATTTTATGCAATCCAAAGAGGCTAGTGCGAGAGAAAAAGACCTGTTCCGCAGCGTAAAGGTGACCAAGTTTCTTTACGTACTCGTACAGGTGTAACGGCAGCGGCAAGATGTCCACTAGGGCCATTTGGGGGGGGTTAAAAACTTTCCAAACCAAGCGCGCTATTGCTCTTTTTCTCCAGCCGTGTTGTCTTTCTCAGTGCTGCTTGGGAACGTCCTGCTTAGGCTGGAAAGAATCGTTAGAAATGGAGCCTCCCCTGAGGCTGGGCCTAAGGTTTCTGCGTTGCTGGCTCTTGATCTAAGCGTATCTGACAAAAGCATCGTCTTCCAGGAAGGCACGTCGTTTGGGGAGGGGGGAAATTTCCACCCCTGCTGGCAGGGTGTTGTGGAAGGGGTCGGTAGGTGCAGCGGGAGTTCAGGTTGGGGGCAGCGTCCTGCTGTACCGCTCACCGACACCGGTTTTCCTCTGCCCCGGCAAGGTGCTTACCCCGGGCTGGGTAAACGCGGCGTCTCTCTGCTCAGGCAGGTCTTAGCCCACCCGGCAGGAGCTGGGGGCTGCGGTTCTTCCTTCTGCTTTCTTGCCATTTCCTCCATTTCCTCCTCAAATTCACCCCGTCCCTCTGCAGCACTCCCGCACCTGCCACGGCGGCGAGGGCTGGTTCCTCGCCGTGCTCTTCTCTCCCGTGAGCCGTTCGCACCACGGTCCCCTCGCTCCTCCCGTGTGGTGACTTCCAGTCCTCGAGTGGGTGTTTCTCATTTCAGACCAGTGATCCCCCGTTTGTGGGGCAGCCCAGGCGGCTCGGTGGCAGCTGCTTGCTGGCCCGGGACCACCGAACAGCCCCGGGCACCGCTGGCTGGTGGCGCTCTGCTAGGAACACACCACTAACGGTTAACGACCGGGAGGCGGACAGGTAGTGCCCAGGGAGTTGCTGACCCCGAACGGAGCTGAGGTGTGGAAGCTGCACAGAAAATCGTGAAGTCTTTCATTAATAAAACATGGCAGGAGAGCAGAAGCCTGACATCAGCCGCCTTTTCTTTGGGGGGAAAGCTGGCGGAAACGGGCACATCCGCTCCCGCCAGTCGGCAGCACGAGCCGGGGTGAGGCAGATGTTCGTAAACGCTTTTCTGCTGCGTTCAGTTTCTCATCTTCCATGTTTTGCAGGATACCGATTTATCAAGAAATATTCCTGGAAAAGTGAAAGTCTCCGCGCCTCATCTGCTGAGCAGGAAGAAGAAGTGATTCCGTGCTGGGGCCTCGCCTCCAAAGCCGTCGGAATCCAGCACCTGCCGACGGGACGCAGACCTACCCCGGCTGCTGGTCCCTGGACTGAATTTAGCTTCCGTGGTAGCGGGCAGAGGAGGGCCGGTTCCTGCAGCGGGGGGGTAGATGGACTCTGAACTCACCTTGAGACGTAAAATAGCGTAAAAACGTGCAAGTGAATTGCTGGCGTTTGGTCACGCGGTTCGTTCTCGCGCGTTTCGAGCGCTGGGCAAAGGGGCGCCTCGAGTCGCCTGCTGGTCCCTGGACTGAATTTAGCTTCCGTGGTAGCGGGCAGAGGAGGGCCGGTTCCTGCAGCGGGGGGGTAGATGGACTCTGAACTCACCTTGAGACGTAAAATAGCGTAAAAACGTGCAAGTGAATTGCTGGCGTTTGGTCACGCGGTTCGTTCTCGCGCGTTTCGAGCGCTGGGCAAAGGGGCGCCTCGAGTCGCCGCAGCAGAACTGGGTGATGTTCGTTTTTTTTCCTCGTACCTGCCGCTTTCCTCTGAAGGCAACTGGAGTTTCTGGTGGCGGCGGGATAGTTTCAGTGCAAAATGTTTCAGTTGAGGAAAGGCAGAATTCCTATGTTCCCCGCCA